GAATGTATCATTATTTTTTCCAGTGTAAAATATCCTTTTTCATGGCAGTCAAATTAAAATTTCTAGTTTCCAATTTCCGAACTGGCGCGGCGGAAGGATTTCGTGCAGCTAATTAGTTTTTTGAACTTTTGGACGCATAAAACATGAATTAACTACTAAACCTCGCTTTCGATTCGAGGGATTTTCAATATGTTGCCCTTTTTAATTATTTCAAGCCATACATACATAACAGTTATACACAGAAAAAAATCCAAAAAATTTCTGTTTCGTTAATGTTTATTAACTTATAAATAAAACGTATTAATATACAGGATGGTCCTGACTGTATTCGAGGAACTTCGGCAGAGAGAGTATATGCTGCAGAAAAAAATAAATCAAAAAAAATTAAAAAAAAAATATGTCCTAAAATTCTTCCTTTCTGAGATACAGGGTGTAGAAGTTTTATGTTTACATCGATTTTTTCTAAATAATTTCTGAGCTAACGCCAATATTTGGGTAAAAATTGGTGTCTGGGTATTTTTTTTCATGAAAAATTCGATGTCGATGTCAGTATGACTCCTACCGTATGATCGAGAAAAAACGGCGTCAGCGTTGGCTATAAAATGAAGATCGCTGTCATTTTATATGTAAATTTATATGGGAAATGTCATCGATCGTCATTTCCCAGCCAACTGGACGCCGTTTTTTTTCGATCATACGGTACTTGTAGGAGGCGCCACCTACATATCTTTTTATCTTTTTTTCGGCGGTACCTATTATACTACTGTAAGAACAATCTCCGGATTGTGACGGAGTTTCTAACAGGACACTGTCTCCTCAATGAACACGCCAGTAGATTGAAGCTAAGAAAGAACAGCGAATGCAGATTCTATGGGGAAAATGAGGAAACACCAGAACACCTCATCACTAAGGCCCGTATTTATAGTTGAGTCTCGAACCGGGATTTCGACCGAGATCGTCTTGGGCTCTTGCGACTGAGTTCGTTTTATAGTCGATGTTTCGCCGAGATTCCAGTCTCAAATTGTCGATCTAGGGAATTTGTTTTTATCCACCAGAAATGATAAAAGGCCAAAGAAAAAATCGTTAAAACGAAGAGATTTGACACTGACCTCAATTTTTTTGGCGGAATTTTGTCTGTTTTTACTTTTATTACAAGTTTCTTATACAGGGTGGTCCGAATTGTATTCCGGAAACTTCGGCAACATAACCTGTAGATAAAAATAGGTAAAAAAGTTCGTATAAATGTATGTCCTAAAATGCTTAGTTTCGGAGATACAGGGTGTAGAAATTTCATTTTTATTTCGATTTTTTTCAGATAATTTTTTAAATAACGTCAATATTTCGATGAAAATTGATGTCTGGGAGTTTTTTGACATGAGAAATTCGATTCTGATATCAGTATGACTCCTACTGGTAGAGGGCGCCACCTATATGTGTTTTAACTGTTTTGAAGCGTAATAACATTTTGTCCGTACCTGTATAAAACTACCGAGGGAAAAAATATATCTCTCTGTGTTTTTTTACGTAAAAAATATCTCTTTGTAAAAATCGCTACGAGCAACCGTTCTCAAGATATTTACAATAGAAATAGTCAATATATGCCATTATTAACGAAAAATAAACACGTTGAGTAGATAGTTATTTCACATAGAAATTTTTATTTTTTAAATTAATCATGTTTTTTCTGCAAAAAAATGACGATAAAACAGTTTTTGTTGAACTTTGAAAACAAAACCATTTCAAATTTATGATCTCAGGCTAATAACTATTTAGTCAACATGTTTAATTTATGTCAGTGATGACAGGTATTGATAATTTCGATTCCAAATATCTCGAAAACCATTACTCGTAGCGATTTTTACCCAGAAATCTTTTTTACGTAAAAAGCATCGCAAATGTATATTTTTTACTCAGTAGTTTTAGACAGGTACGGACGAAAAGTTATTACTCTTCAAACCAGTTAAAAAATATGTAGGTGGCGCCCTCTACTAGTAGGCGTCATATTGGCATCAAAATCAAACTTCTCATGTCAAAAATCTCCCAGACACGAGTTTTAATCCAAATATTGACGTTACTGCAGAAATTATTTGGAACAAATAGAAATAAAAATGAAACTTCTACACCCTGTATCTCCGAAACTAAGCATCTTTGGACATACATCTATACGAACATTTTTACTTAATTTTATCTGCAGAATATGCTGCCGAAGTTTCCGGAATACAGTTCAGACCACCCTGTATACAGTTACGTAAAGGAATTAGTAATTGAATAACGGGGGGAATGGGTAAACCACGCTTGGTAGATTTTTGCAAGCCTTCAATTACAAGATGTAAAATAGCGTCTGTAATGCTCTGTTAAACCCTATATCGGCGTTTAAATTCGTCTTCGCTAAACATTTCTATTCGATTTCCTGCATCCCGGATATATCTTTTTGGAACTCGAAGACGATTTTCTTCTTCCAGGCGTTCTAAAATATCTTCAAACTTTTCTAATGTATTTAAAATTGCTTGTTATGTCACACAAACGGATTTGTAACGGATTTCGATTTTCTATTTAACTGCCAAAGAAGATTAAGAAAAAAAGGTTAAGAAACTCTCCAAAATGACAGTTACAAAACCGGTCAAACAGCGTCTTGAAATCTCGTCATCAATCCCCTTGATGAAGATTCCTCTCCGACATAGCTTTATGTACTCCTCCGATCCATGTTACTTTTGGTCTTCCCTTTTTTCTTCCTATACCATCGTATCCATTTCAAGACTTTCTTCGGTATTCGGTCCTCACTCATTCTTTCTACATGCCCATACCATACCAGCTGTCCCCTATCTTTTTATTCGGTACTCTTTCCATTATTGATATTCCCGCAGATCTTCGCCAGAAGTCCATCGCTAATAGTGCTAATAGTTTTTGTTCCATTCTATTACTGAGCTGACATGTTTCACATCCATATAAAACTATACTTTTAAAGATGGAATTATAAATAGTATGTTTTTTCTCATATGATATGTGTTTGAACCATAATACTGAGTTCGCGGCACCCGATGACTTTTTTACCTTTCAGTATTCTTTCCTAGATCTCTGTTCGCCCGGTATAATCTATCTGAGTTTCAAAATAGGTGTATTTACTGCATGACCCTATATCTATATTTCCATCCAGATGTAAAGTTTCTGCTGCTTGGCCCATACATAAGTACTTAGTCTTCGACGTATTTACCGACAACCCCTACTGTTCATACTCGTTTAAAAGTCTTGTTGCAATAAATAGTAGGTCTTCCTTATCTTGAGCCACTACCACTTGATCTTCTGCAAAATTAAGGTTGTATAGAGTTGTTTTGTCGTTAAGTGGTATTCCCATTCCTCTGCGCGATCTTCTCCATTTTTCTAGGGCTTCGTTTAGATAGATCTTAAAAGACCAAACCCTATATCTATATATATTTCCATCCAGACGTAAAGTTTCTGCTGCTTGGCCTGTACATAAGTACTTAGTCTTCGACGTATTTACCGACAACCCCCACTTTTCATACTCATTTAAAAGTCTTGTTCCAATAAATAGTAGGTCTTCCTTATCTTAAGCCACTACCACTTGATCTTCTGCAAAATTAAGGTTGTATAGAGTTGTTTTGTCGTTAAGTGGTATTCCCATTCCTCTGCGCGATCTTCTCCATTTTTCTAGGGCTTCGTTTAGATAGATCTTAAAAGACCAAACCCTATATCTATATATATATTTCCATCCAGACGTAAAGTTTCTGCTGCTTGGCCTGTACATAAGTACTTAGTCTTCGACGATGGTATTTACCGACAACCCCCACTTTTCATACTCGTTTAAAAGTCTTGTTCCGATAAATTGTATGTCTTCCTTATCTTGAGCCACTACCGCTTGATCATCTGCAAAATGAAGCTTGAATAGAGTTGTTTCGTCGTTAAGTGGGTATTCCCATTCCTCTGCACGATCTTCTCCATTTTTCTAGGGCTTCGTTCAGATATATCTTAAATGACATCGGGGATAGGCAGCAACCTTGTCGTAGGCCCTTAGTTACAGGAAAACCTACAGACTATAAATACGGCCTTAAAACACTCGAAGAAGTTTCTGAGAGCTTACGACCGAGAAAAATCAATGATTTTTCTTTATTTAAGTTAAGTCTTTGTTTTTTTACTGGATTTTTAACAGGATACTGTTTCTTCAACAACGGCGAACGCAGATTCCATGGGGAAAATGAAGTAACACCAGAACACCTCATCACTAAGTGCGCCGAGACGACAACCATTCATACGCTAAAGTTTTGTACGACTGATATGAGAGATGGAGAATTAACCTCTGCAAGACCGTCTCAGATACTCGTACAGAAGACTGTATGATAATAACTCAAGAAAGGGGACACAATAAGAGTAGATCTATAAGATAGCGATGATTAACCTCCCACACAATCCACAATCAACCCTGTATATAAAAGCGAAAAAGGTTAATACTCTTCATTGGCATCCTGTTTTGCCTAGTAATGGCGTAAATGTCTGGATTTTCAGTTAATTTAGAAAGACCCGTCTATTGCAGTCGAAAAATCCTATTTCACGATCCAGACTCCGTTACGCAAGATTAAGCGCGCTCAAAAACTCTAATAAATTAACGCTAATTACTATGGAAAACACACCTACGGGTCCTCAGTATAAAATTACTGTTATTTCTGTTTCAATTAGTCGAAAGTTTGAGTTGACTAACCCTAGGGATGGAGTTAACAAACAATATTACGAATAATTTGTATAAGTACCGGGTGCGTCTTAAAAGTGGCTCACCTCTATAACTTTTTTATTTTTTCTGATAAAAAAAAACGAGATTTGGTATGTTAGTGTATGATATAAATTAGGATTGGTTGACGTATTCGATTGTTTTTAGTCGCTACGCGTTTCACCGTACTTTTTTACTTTTCTATAGAAAATGAGTCTTAAGCAGGCTAGAAGACCTGGATTACGCAGACGATCTATGCATCTTTTCCCATTCACATTCGGATATGTCTCAAAAACTTCTTAGACTCCAAGAGGAAGCTAATAATGTCGGTCTTCAAATCAACGTGGCGAAAACCAAAGAAATGAGGTCAAATACTCCCAACAACCAAGATCTATACCTCTCCAACCGAGCCATCGAAAGAGTTGATGAATTTCAGTACCTGGGAAGTATGGTTCACAGCGATGGGGGCACAGAGAAAGATACAGAGGAAAGAATTTTGAAGGCACAAAGAGCTTTTGGCATGCTTACACCTGTGTGGAACTCCTCTATATATAGCAAAAAAACTAAAGTCCAGCTCTTCAATAGCAATGTCAAATCTATTTTGCTTTATGGATGCGAAACATGGAAGGTTACGCGTGGTCTCATGGATCGCCTACAGGTGTTTGTTAACAAGTGTCTTCGAAGAATATTGAGAATTTTCTGGCCCAATCAAATTAACAACGAAGAACTGTGGAGAAGAACATCACAAAATCGAATAGATATCGAAATTAAGAAAAGAAAGTGGGGCTGGATTGGGCACATTTTGCGCAGACCCCACAAAGATATCGCTAGACAGGCACTTGAATGGAATCCAGAGGGAAGAGGTGCCAGGGGAAGACCAAGGAATACCTGGAGAAGAACAGTAACCTCTGAAGCCCAAGAGGTCGGGAAAACATGGGGAGAGATCAAACAGACAGCTCAGAATAGGATCAAATGGAAACATCTCTTAGAAGCCCTATGTCCCACGAAGGGATGACGGGAACATAATTTTGTGTGTGCCTGGTACGTAATTTTGGGACGAACGTCAGGTCTCTGGTACGTACAAGTACGTACCAAGGACGTACATTTTCCAAGGTTCTGAACGTCCCCGGTACGTCCCTGGGAGGTGGCAATGTACGTACTATGTACGTCGCATGTACGTACATTCCAGGTACGTACATTTTATGTTTTGTTCCGGACTAAAACTGGACGTAAAATGATTGAAAGTACATACAATGTACGTACTATGGACGTACATTTTTCAACGACGTATACGACCTACGAATTTAATTAGAAATAATTCAATGGAAGCCAGCTTAAAATTTTTATTAATATAAAAACTCAGGTACAGGGTCATCCCTTATGTCTTGATACACCCGTGAGTCTGGCTTCGGTCCGGCAACTACACCCTTAGCGCACTCTGCCTTTTATTGGATGTTGATAGATATTTTATTTTTTTATTCTCGAACTGCTTCTAACTAAAAAATACAAAAAGAAAACTAAGTATTCAAATATCTAATTATTGCCTCTGCTTTGAAAAAATTGAATTAGCTGATTCTCACTCATTCGAGGTTGTGACTGTGGAAAAATTTTTTTTATAGCGGTCGGGTTATTGGGTATATCTGACCAAAATAATCCAGTCATGATATTAAAATTAAATAACATTTTGTAATGCGTTTTCAAAAATTTTCAAGATACGTACGTAGTACGTACTCACATGTACGTCCGTAGTACGTACTCGCATGTACGTCTGTAGTACGTACTACTATAATGTACGTAAGTAGTACGTACATGGGGCACGTACTATGTACGTACACTTTTGTACGTACATAGTACGTCCCTAATTGGTCCCGGGACGTACCGACGTAAAATGGACATAAAATGTACGTCCCTGGGACGAAGTGTGCTGTATGGGACATATCATATGTCAACTTTTGATACATTCACTTCAAAAAATTGTATTTTAAATTTCAATCTAGAGTGCCATGGCTGTGTTAAAAACACAAATTTTTAATCAAGGAATCTTGGAAAAATAGATTTGATCGTCTAATGTTTTTCGTGTCTTGTCCTGGTCGGTTAAAGTATGACCGAATCGTATTTTTAATCATATCTCAATTTTTTTTAAATGGAACAACGGTGGCTCATTACCATATTTGAAAAAAGCATTTTTTTAGGAATAATTTGGTACCACACACTTGGTATTTCAAGTCAAATTGTCTTTATGAGCCGCATGTTTCCCCAATTTCAAATAAACCAAAGAATATACCTAGCTAGAAAAAGAATGGACTCTGCCATACTGAAAAATGGTCCTACAGAAGTGGCGCCATCTATTGAGTAGGGCTTGTTTTAAATGGATCGAAGCGCGGGTTTTTTAAATGAGCGTATTTATTGAATTTTGCTCTAAAATAATTAAATTTGATTATTAAATCTTATTTTATATACAAATTCGACAATACTAATAACAAGTATCGTTGTGTAAAAAATAAGATTTTACAGTATAATTTATACAACTATTAAATAAAATTAAAGCCAAACATGCGTAAATATTATTTATTATTTAAAGTTTTTATTTATAAATCAAATATTTAAACATCATTTATTATAATAAAACAAGACCAACGTAATACGACCAAAGTTTTGTAGTTGGAGTAAATATAAATAGGTACTTAAATGACAAAAATAAAAGACTTACATTATATTTTTAGGGCCACAAACAAAAGGAATTGTCTAATTAAAACACATATAACAAATTATAGTTTTTAAAAAACATTTTGATAATCATTTGATAATATTATGATTGGCGCTATGACAACGACAATGTTTTTTGAGCCTTTGACACTAGTATGACAATGGCCGTTGGAAACTATGAAAACTACAAAAAAATTCTGATTTAACGCCATCTCGCAATAACTAGTAGCAACTTATTAACCTAAAAATTAATTGCACTACCACCTAGCGCCTGAGGCTGGAACTATTTTATTTGAAATTTCCGTGGAAACGGTGGAACCGCTTTTGCTATTTCACTTTCCTGCCCCTGAAATAAACTATATGCGAAGATGTCAAAAGTTGACATATGATATGTCATTCTATTCGGAGTGCCGTTTTCTATCGAATAAAGTAAAAAATATCGGGGATGTCATTTAAAAATCAAAAGTTGTAATCATTTCTAGTGAAACAGGAAATGGCCAAAACAATTATTAAATCCTAATTTATGTCATACTAGTTGAAGCGCATCCGCCACGACATCAGGAAGAAAAAAACTTTTTATTATTTTTTTAATTAAATGTAAAACAAAAAATCTGGCGACGACAGTTTTTAGAAGAGCCAATTAGCTATCTTTTAGTAAAAAAAAACAACTGTCTAGAGTAAGTCATTACTTCAGTAGAGGCGACACACAGATAAACATTATAGCATTTTATATATGTAAATACTAACATACCATTTTTTATCTGAAAAAATAAAAAAGTTATAGGGATGAGCCGCTTTAGAGACGCACCCAGTATAGTTTCATTTTTTTTGAAGTTCTTGAGAGCAAAACACAAACATCATCTCGCATCCACCTGTATCCTGTATCCTGAAACTAACCAACCGAATTAATAAGTTGCATTTAACGAATTACAATTATCTTATCAAGACGTTTTTAATTGTGTCATCGTAGTCATCAATTTAATTCTTAAGTAATCTATATTTATTTAATTTAAGTGCATACGTTCGTCTGTCATACTTGTCTCATGTTTAACCTGTTAAGTATAATTATAATTATAAAATACTTATACTTCAATGTTGTATGATCAATCAACATTTAATACGATTAACTGGGAAAGGGAACAAACACAAAATTATTAAATTACGCTTTGCAATCAGGCATAAAATACGGAAATAAATAAAAGTAATTCACGTGGAATATTAAATCTGATTTACGTAAACTAAGTATTCTAGGTATATTAATTTATATGAATTATAAATTTTTGATATAAGGATATCAATTTTATGTAATAAAATATACTTGGAAGCCAAAAATGCTATAATATACAGGGTGCTACATTTAAAATAAATCATCTTGATCCACTCACACTTTTTTGGGCCACCCTATAGAAATTAAAATATTTTTCTGAAATATGTTCTAATACATATTTTAGGCATGCACACTTTTCGTAACAAAACTTTTTCTATTAACTGTTAAAATATTTACTCTATATACCTACCTGTAAAGAAAAACAGGAAGTAGCATAGCTATAGTTCAGTAGCTGGTCCCTCAGGTTAAGATAAAACAAAAAGTTTATATCGCACATAATCCAAAACTGCCTCTTAGGGGAGATAAAACGCTTGCGAACTTAACCCAACAAATGATTCCTGTTTAAATATTTCACACTCTACTCTATAGCTATAAGTATAAAATGTTGCAAAAATTAGCTAAAAACTACTAAAACTTTGATAGTATTTTAAATAATTTAGTTTTTTTTTTGAGAGAGGATAGGTTCAGAACAAGCGTCAAGAACATTCACAAAGAACGGCGTCGGAGTTGGCTTGAAAATGAAGATCGCTACTATTTCATATAAAATATTATGATAAATGTCAATAATCGTCATTTCCAAGCCAACTAAACGACTTTTTTCGATCATACGAAATATTCAGTACCTGTAAAAGAATTTTTATTTTTGTTGTTTATTTTATGTTTAGCACGAATAAATTTTCAATACTTAAACGCGGATTTTTCATCCAAAGATATTTTCGACAAACGTATTACAAATATTACACATTATAATATGGCAACTCTGTCGCTTTCAGTTCCACACCGTCTTCGAAATGCCTTCGCTGGCCGAATTAGAGAAAATAAGTGTTTTATGCGTTGGGCACAGAACGATTGGTGTCTCCACCGTACAGCACTTGAGACGTAAGGGGAAATCAAATCAGCCTTATTATTATACTAAACTGTGAATTAAAAAAAAAGATAAAACCATTTTTACTTAATAAAGGGTATGGCCTCCTCTACTGTTAATTACAGCCCTACATCGTCTCTCCATGCTCCAGATCAGGTTGTCGATCTCTTCTTGATGTACAGCTTGCCACGCTGCATTCACGGCCCGAACCAGATCCCTACGAGTTTCACGAGGCATACCCATTCTCAAAATTCTTCTTTGGACCGCGTTCCATACGTGCTCGATGGGGTTGAGGTCAGGAGATTGTGCCGGCCAGGTTAAGATGTTTAATTGATGAGCATTGATAAACTCACTTACCACTCTAGCTGTATGAGGCCGTGCATTGTCATGCATGAGAATGAAGTTTCTCCCAAAATCATTGGCATATGGTAACACGACAGGCTCAAGAATTAAATCACGATATGTGATTCCTGTTAGAAACCTTTCAAGAAAAAGAGATCGGTTTTTCGGCCTAACTGGACTCCTCCCCAGACCATAACTGTTCCACCTTGATAAGGGTGCACTTCCTGAACATGATCCAACCGAATAAGATTTCCCGGTTCTCTCCATACCCTAAGCCTTCTCAAATCCGGATGAATTCCAAAGCGTGACTCATCCGTGAAGAGAACATTAACCCATTGTTCATTCGACCACTGAACATGATCTTGAGCCCACAAATATCATACCTCTCGATTTCCTCTCGTTAAGGGTTGAACTCTCCAGGGGCGTCTGCTTCTTAAGTTGACCTCTCTTAATCTATTGCGAACAGTGTCAGGACTAACGGTTACATTATGTGTTTCCTGGAGAATTAAACTAAGCTCTGGTACTGTAAGAGTCGGTCGGCGTCGAGCATTTAATTGTAAAAAATAATCTTGCTGAGGGGTAGTAATGCGATGTCGCCCTGTGTGCCTTTCAGCAACATCACCACTTTCACGGTAACGTGCACTTAATCGCGATATTACACTTTGCGTTGTATTTAATGCTCTAGCTACGTCGATTTGGCGCATTCCAGCTTCGAGCATACCCATGGCACTTAGCATTTCGTCTCTGTTAAGATGTCTACGCTCCATAATGTCGT